GGATACTCCACCCCAAAATGAAAATTTTGTCATTAATCACTTACCCCTATGTCGTTCCAAACCCGTAAAAGCTTCGTTCGTCTTCGGAACACATGTCAGCATCGCTGTAGCGGCATTTTGGAGAATAACCACTGAACGCAAGCAGCGTACGCTCTTCTGTGTCAGCCGCGCTGCACGGATGCGCTGTTTTCGTTCAAATCAAAGCGTAAATACACGTAGAAAATGTACCCATGTGTCGCGGCTGACACAGAAGAGCGTACACTGCTTGCGTTCAGTGGTTATTCTCCAAAATGGCGCTACGGCAATGCGGAGAGACACAGAGGAGACAAATTATTGAATAAAGTTGTTATTTTTGTTTTCTTCATATACAAAAAGTATTCTCGTCGCTTCATAACGTTACGGTTGAACCACTGATGGCAGATGGACTATTCTGACGATGTCTTTCATACTTTTCTGGACCTTGACCGTGTATTTTACTTGGCAGTCAATCGGAGAGTCACAAGCCTCCCGGTTTTCATCCAAAATATCTTCAATTGTGTTCTGAAGACAAACTAAGCTTTTAGGAGTTTGGAACGTCATGGCGGTAAGTGATTAATGACAATTTTCATTTTGGGGTGGAGTATCTTCATATCTCCATCAGATAAAATATTAAAATCACAATTGAGAGGTTCAAACCTCCCCAAATGCCAGTGCAGGCTGTCCATATGCTGGCTCAGACTGGCATACAGAGATAAGAGTCAGCCAGATGAACAACATATGAAAAAAAAAAACTCCTGTAATAAACAGATATCAGTGTCAAGACCCATCTGGATATGACTTGAAAAACACTAAGTCGTAAGGGAAGTCGTGGCCTAATGGTTAAAGAGTCAGACTCATAACCCAAAGGTTGTGGGTTCGAGTTTTGGGGTGGAGTATCTCTTTAAGAGCAAAATCTGTTTAAATAGCGAACAGAGTCTACATTTTGTGTTATGAAAGAAAAACTCAGCCTCAAAAAAAAGTTAATGATCAATATTATGTTAGCAGCTGATGCCATCTGCAATAGTATCAGGCAAGCCTTTGCTCTTTTCTTAAGTACATGGAAGCCCTGTGTTGGTTCCTTTAAACTGAATTATTCAGAATTTATGCAAAAATGTGTTAAATGTTGTTACCGGATCAGCCACAGAGGACAACAACTGTATTTTTCCTCTTACAAATCTTTAAATAAACCCTGACAGGTGCATGCTGTCATATGTCAGCCTTCATTCCCAAATGAACAAGTAACATTCAGTAAGGACACCAACATTTGCTCCAAGGTATATTAAGCTGACTAAGTTAACGTTAATTTATTTACTTATTGATTAGGATCAAAGCAGAGTTCATAGTGCCGGTGAGCATGTTGTAGAACTGTTCTGCTCACTTAACACTAATGTTATCAGATGTAATTCTTTTCAAAAGAAGCTTTTTTCCAACAAAGTGTTTGCCTTGATTCTGAACTGCAATCTGTGCAGTTTTTAAATCACGTTATCATGTAATTTAACAATTTCTTTCAAAGAAAAATGGCTGATGAAAATGCTGTAAAATGTCCTTATTCCTTCCAGCCTACCTAAAAAATAATATCCAGTTCATTTAACCTCTTTATATTACTTAAAATCACGTTTTCTTTGAAACATTCCGTAAAGTTAGTCTCAGTTAGCAACATTAACCAAGAGGGGAGGAGCTTAATCAAAGGATAAACTGGCTTGGGTTGCTGTGCTGCTTCAGATTTACCCATACTTTTTGTAACCTCGTGCCAAAAATCCCTGCCAAAGAAAAAGCACCACTCTTTCTCATATCTCTAGCAGATAAAATATTAAAAATCACAATTGAGAGGTTCAAACCTCCCCAAATGCCAGTGCAGGCTGTCCATATGCTGGCTCAGACTGGCATACAGAGATAAGAGTCAGCCAGATGAACAACATATGAAAAAAAAAAACTCCTGTAATAAACAGATATCAGTGTCAAGACCCATCTGGATATGACTTGAAAAACACTAAGTCGTAAGGGAAGTCGTGGCCTAATGGTTAAAGAGTCAGACTCATAACCCAAAGGTTGTGGGTTCGAGTCTTGTACTGGCAGGGATTGTAGGTGGGGGGAGTGAATGTACAGCGCTCTCTCCCACCTTCAATACCACGACTGAGGTGCCCTTGAGCAAGGCTGCTCCCCGGGCATAAATGGCTGCCCACTGTGTGTGTTCACGGTGTGTCTGTCCTCTCTCTTATCACATTATATCAACAGTTGTGTCGCAGAGCAGAGTACAACAGCACGCGTCCACTTTTTCAGCGGCATTTCCTGAAGTATTTTTCCCTAGGGGGTATTTAAAAAAGTCTTTAAGGAAATTGAACCAAACCAACTAGCTATGAGATGAAAAATTTGTCTTTTTGTCAGATTTTCAAATATTTTTTGCTTCAAATCAAAGGTACAAGATGGGAGTATGTACTAATGAGGGAATTACTTTGAGGGAAATAACTGTAATCCCATGAAGCATTATGAATGATGTAATCAAAATAAAAACAACAGAGAAATATAAAACTGTTACAGATATAATTTTATTGCAAAATATGCAAAACAGTTATATATATATATTACGTATATATATATATATATATATATATATATATATACACACACACACACACATATTGTTTTGCATATTTTGCAATAAAATTATATCTGTAACAGTTTTATATTTCTCTGTTGTTTTTATTTTGATTACATCATTCATAATGCTTCATGGGATTACAGTTATTTCCCTCAAAGTAATTCCCTCATTAGTACATACTCCCATCTTGTACCTTTGATTTGAAGCAAAAAATATTTGAAAATCTGACAAAAAGACAAATTTTTCATCTCATAGCTAGTTGGTTTGGTTCAATTTCCTTAACAAAGACTTTTTTAAATACCCCCTAGGGAAAAATACTTCAGGAAATGCCGCTGAAAAAGTGGACGCGTGCTGTTGTACTCTGCTCTGCGACACAACTGTTGATATAATGTGATAAGAGAGAGGACAGAATGATGTTCCCCGAGGAGATCAGATGATGAATGCTTCACCTGCACTGATGGCAATGGAACGGGCCTCAACTTTGTCCCCCATCTTGCGCACCACGTCTGGGGTGGGGCCGATAAAACGTACCCCAGCATCCACGCACGCCTGGGCAAAATCTGCTCGTTCTGACAGGAAGCCGTAACCTGGATGGATGGCATCCACCTCATTCTCCTGCCAGACACAGACTGCAAAATATCACCATTTGCCAGCAAAAGTATTCTGTCACAGTGAATTCCTGTAATACCAATTCAAATGACTGTGATACTGTCACCTTGTCATTTATTTTTGAGAATGATAAGAGATGTGACAAAAAGACAGATTCAAATACACTACCGTTCAAAGGTCTGGGGTCATCAGTATTTTATTTTATTTTATAAATAAATACTTTTATTCAGTAAGGATGCGTTGTATTGATCAAAAGTGAAAGATTTCTATTTCAAATAAATGCTGTTCTGCTGAACTTTCTATTCATCAAGAAATCCTTATAAAATGTTGTAGAAACAGCTCTTTCTATAAGCAGCTAAAAGGCAGTAGTGGCTCCAAGATACAGCCCAACTTCCCCAACTGACTGAAATGTTTTGTTTATAAGCCAGTATTCAAGGTTAGCCAATTTAATTCTCTAAACAAGTCACGGCAAGAGGTTAGGAATGTTTCAGGTGCTTAACAATAACATGGGTCATTTTCTAAGACACATAAGGCATAGTGTTAAACTGACAAGCCCTTAAAGCCATTGGTTTATTTATTGATTAAGCCATTGACTGACTGATTGTCCATTGATTGTTGCCTGAAGCATTTAATCAGAAAATGAGATTTGGGAGAACGACTGCCTCTCAATGATTATTTTACGGCTAAATTACCATCACTTCTTGGCGTCAGACTCTGAACCCTTTGCCCTGCAAAACTCAAACATATGGTTTTCTGAGACATCTATTTGCCAATTCTAACAATTACCTCGCTGGCTGACCATTGTAGATGACTTTTTGTTGAAACTGCAAAACTGAATTGTGAGAGTTTTGGAAGCATCAGTAAGAATGGGTCGAAAATTACAAATCATTCAATAATATAAATTTATGTGACTTTATTTACATAATATATTGTTGTCTTGCTGCTACATAATTATAATATTTGTATAATTTCCAGCTATTTCTGCAACATTTATTTGTAAAGAAAACAATATTGCATAATAATAAATATATATATTTTAATCATTTAAATTATTTCCTGAGCACCAAATCAGCATATTAGAATTATTTCTAAAGCATGTGACACTGAAGACTGGAGTAATGGCTGCTGATTAAAATGGAAAAAATTTATTTTAAATTGTAGTAATATTTCACAATATTACAGTTTCTTTAAAAAAAAAAAAGAAAAAGAAGCAGCCTTGCTGAGCATAAGAAACTTTTTGCAAACATTTTTTTCACACACCCCAGACTTTTGAATGGAAGTGTAAATGTAAAAAAAAAATTATAAAATTTCTAAAATTTTAAATTAGAAATGTCATACTATAATTGCAAATATAACATTACAAATGTAAATGTATCATTTTTGTGTGTTCGGGGCCAGTGAAAAATGGCATGTAGAAATCTGAATTATGGAGCAAAAGATTTATAGAAAACCACTCATGTGCAAAGTCTGACCTTGGCCACTTTGATGATGTCTGGTATATGTAGGTAGGCTGCTACAGGTGGCAGCCCCTTCCCGATGAGGTAAGCTTCATCTGCCTTTTGTCTGTGCATCTGGCCCGTGTCCTGCTCAGAGTAGACGGCCACTGTGCGGATCCCCAGCTCTGTGCAGGCCCTGAACACCCGGATGGCAATCTCTCCTGCAAAAAGCATTTTATTAAATACAATTCATGAGTATACAATTCATTCATGCCATGTGATTTTATACCCGAGGAAGGACAGAGAGACTGAGACACAAATAGCATACTGCCTTTATGATTTCTGCAGTTAAAGGCATCTATACTGCTATTTTAAGAAATGCACTGACATCAAAATTCCGTCTAATAACAAGAATTTAACATTGTTACTAAATTATCTAAAATTAAGAAAACTGAACATGTACATTCAAATATCTTATGTTGGCAAATACTAATACTGCACTCTCAGAAAAAAAAGGTACAAAAGCTGTCACTGGGGTGGTACCTTTTCAAAAGGCACACCTTTGTATCTAAAGAGTCCATATTAGTACCTAAAGTGTACATATTACCTAAAATTTACAAGAGTGTACCTTTTGAAAAGGTACCGCCCCAGTGACAGCTTTGTACCTTTTTTTCTGAGAGTGTGTAACAATATAACATGCATTCCTAAAACATAATTTGACCCAAAGTTCATACATCATTATGTATTAGACATACATTTTTGATTTCTCAATTCATCCCATGTCATGTTAATAATTTTGCTTGCTGTTTGAACTATGCAGTCCATGGAGATACTATTAAATTCTCATTTAGTTTACTTTTTTTTCTTTTTAAATAAACCATCCTGGTACTGTGATGGGTCAAACGGCATCCAATGTACTGACGCAAAACCAGTTGAAAAATCAATGCTTTAAAATCAATTCATTAAAAAAAAAAAAGAACACTTCGTTCACTGAACGTATGTAGTTCATATTTGCCAACTTCCTAAAGAAAACATGCATTTGATAACTAAGGGGATATTGCAAAAACGTGCTCAAAGGTCTACCTACTTCAGAGGAAAGGTATTTGCACAGCGTATATGGCCCCTCAGATGAAAGGGCAGAGGAAAAACAAAAGAAATAACATACATTCATATCGAATCTGCAAAACACAAAATTGCTTAAGAAAAGTTCAGGCTGATTTCTTATGGGAGCACATTTAAGAGGTCTCATTTCTATTCTGTGGTTACCGAATGGTTCAACTCTTTCTTAAATTTGTCTGCTCTTAAATAAGAGACATCCCTCTGCCAAAATCACAACAACACAGCGTCTGTGTCCTGGCTGAGAGAGAACATGACACTGACACACGAGCTCCACGGCGGAGACACAAACTGAAGCTGCTGTAAACAATAGCAGCACATTTGTGTGAGAGTTTAGGACAGTATGGAGATGGGGCAGCGTACTGGTTGGCATTCAGCATGTGTAATGGGGCATGTAAAACAGTGAAGGGTGAGTTGGTGTGATTTGGTAGCAAAATGATCATATCTTCCTGACATGATGGAAGCAGGTGGCTTTGAGAGGTTTACTGAACCATTCAGATGAAACCTTTAATCCAGAGTATGTTGGCACAGCCTGTGGTCTTGGTCTATAAAAAAAGAATTGTATTCTACTCAGAAGAAACCCTTAATAGATCCACTTACAAACTCACTCACAGCCTGATTTATGCTGTGAGAACACAAGGCCATTAATTTGCATTCACAATAGAGAAAAAAAATCAACTGCCTCTTTTCATATTCAATCCACTAAACCTTTATTACTCATTAAAGCAACAGACAAAATGAATTAATTTGCCTGTTACACGCAAGCATAAGGCAAATCCAATGTTTAAACTTTCAACACCCCCTGAAATTCCTGCTTTTGGCACTTCACAGGTTCCCACCACATGGCTGATGATGACTCCAGATATATCCCATAGTTCAAGAGTCATCAGATTTCTGGAGATGTTCATAGTGTCATATTATCAGACACAGGGGTGGCGTTTCCGTATGGCAGTCGCCACACCCTAGCCCAGTCAGGTGTGTCGTGGAAAATTATCCAAACTTCGTATCTCTATTATATTTCGTTATTATTATTTTAAATCAATGCTATTGGTCTTCCTTGTGTCTGTTTGAGGGTTTTACAAATATTTATCCAATGAAAAGCATTTAAAGAGCTTGTCACTAAAGCTCGTCACGCCATTCTCAAACTGTCAGTGAAACCTCATAATTTCACCCGGCCTCCATTCAGATTGACACGCCACGCACAGCCTGGAGACAGATCTCTGCTTGTTCGCAATGTAAGGGTAAATAAATAACCGTGATGTTTGAAAAAGTACAGCGTTTTGTTTATTCAAACACTATGTCTATAAAGGTCAATGTTTTTGTGTGTTTGAAGAGCGGAGAAGCTTTTGATGTCTAGTTGTAGCCATATAATTTTGTAGCCTACGTTTTAAATATCCTTTGCACATAGCGCTTTATCGTTTCATGATATTTTGACCAAGTGTATTAGACGACAAGAAAAACTATAGCAACAATAAAAGTTATAACCTGTAAGTTGATGAAAGCGTTTAATGCGATGCACTTGCTGACAGCTGTTCTAATGACAGACAAAACACAGATTTCCGTCATTCACTGTTCAAAAACGAACTCCATTTGATCTTGATTTTCATAAAATGTTAAGTGCAAGTGTCTGATAAAGCCACAATACCAACTCTGACTACGTTTAAACATTATCCCTTTCTATCTTTTTTTCCTATATTTCTGTGCTTAATGATGTGCCGTTCTGTGACCCCCACCCCCCACTAGTGATGGGTCGTTCTTGAACAATTCGTTCATTTTGAACGAATCTTTAATGTGACTCGGGAAGAACGAGTCGTCTCGGGGAGTGATTCATTCAGTCGCGCATGCGCAACATCCTATAGATTCTGTACTGGAATTAGTCAAGTAGTTCACCTGTTTCGAGTCTTCGGGTTTTTCCGAGTCGTTCGTTCATCACGTGACAGCCCCATAAGCTTAGCCTATGCAGTCTGAGCCGGAAAGAGACTTATTAATAATAATAATAACCAACTCTTTATTACCTTTGTTACAACATTCAGTGTTATGGAAAAGAACCATCATGACAGAAATTCACACATTTATAAACTGTAAGAAGTAAAAAGCTACAATTTGAGACCAGAAACGCATCACATAACTGTAAGAGTAAATAATAATTATAATAATGATGATGATAATAATAATAATAATAATAATAACTATGCACCCGTTTGTAAGAAAGCTTGTAAATTAACTAATTTCTCTCTCCAATGCTGTCACGTGACAAAAGAACGAACGATTCAAAAGACTCGAGAGATGAACTAATCAATTCTCTTTCCGGCTCAGACTGCATAGGTAAAGCGTATGGGGCTGTCACGTGATGAACGAATGACTCAAACCCGAAGACTCGTCAGATAAGAGGTGAGGTGAGCTAATCATAGATTGAAGACCCAGGTAAACAATGAATTAATCTTTTCTGTTTCTTATAGCATTACAATTTTGTATTGTTTGTAGTGTGATCAACGTTTGCGTAAGTAGTAGACGTGTTAGGGAAGTAACACGTAACATTTTAATTATATTTTACTAAAATGAACGAAATGAATCGAAAAAAAGATTAGTTCATTTTGCTGAACGAGACTCAAAGGTCCGAGTCGGTAAAATGATCAGAACTTCCCATCATTACCCCCCACCACCATACCCTATGATTTTGTGAAACGCCGCCACTGATCAGACACCTGCTGCTTTTCATAAAGCATGTTCAGTGTTATGTTACTGTGTTTAATACATAACAAAAATATGAATCAGAGGTGATTCTCTTATTATGATAATGTGACCAAGAGCAAATCCAAGAACTTTCAACTTCATATTTTATTGCAGTGACAACAGCATAGCTGTAAAATTGCAGTAGATCGTGTTGAATTTAGAAAAAATTTTTTATGGATATCAAGTTTATTTACATAAGAGAAACTGTATATCATTATTGTGTAAATGTAAATGTGTGTCATTATTTTAAGGTATTTAAATCACCTTTCTGACTTCACTGGATCATTTTAAATGGACCTTCTGTGTGACAAATTAATTTTTTATAATTTTTAAGTTTGTTTTTTATTAAAGCTCTTAATTATGAACAATTTCAGAAAATTGGATGGGATGTTTTAAAATACATTTTTAAAGGGTTACTCCACCCCAAAATGAAAATTTTGTCATTAATCACTTACCCCTATGTCGTTCCAAACCCATAAAAGCTTAGTTTGTCTTCGGAAAACAATTGAAGATATTTTGGATGAAAACCGGGAGGTTTGTGACTGTCACATTGACTGACAAGTAAAATACACGGTCAAGGCCCAGAAAAGTATGAAAGATATCGTCAGAATAGTCCATCTGCCATCAGTGGTTCAACCGTAACTTTATGAAGCGACGAGAATACTTTTTGTACGCAAAGAAAACAAAACTAACGACTTTATTCAACAATTTGTCTCCTCTGTGTCTCTCCGCATCACTGTAGCGCCATTTTGGAGAATAACCACTGAACGCAAGCAGTGTACGCTCTTCTGTGTCAGCCGTGACACAAGGATACGTTTTCTACGTGTATTTACACTTTGATTTGAACGAAAACAGCGCATCCGTGCAACGCGGCTGACACAGAATAGTGTACGCTGCTTGCGTTCAGTGGTTATTCTCCAAAATGGTGCTACGGCGATCCCATCAACCCATCAAAAATATTTTTAAACTGGACATGAATTTACATGCCAGCTGCACAAGAACCTTTTATAAAGGAGACATGGTTTATCCTATTTTTTAAAAAGACAAAAAGTTAAAAGTTAAAATTCAGCCAACTTCCTCCTTCAACCTCCAACAATTCCGTTCATGCATGCCATCAGAGGCAGACAGTAACTAAGTACATTTACTTGAGTATTGTACTTAAGTATACTTTTTGGCTGGCTAGTCAGTGTATTCAGTAGGTGTAATGTATTGTAAGTTGCTTCAGAAGTATTGTAAGTATTACATACAACAATAATAAAACAGTGCATTGACATAAAAAGGGAAATTTACTTTTGGTACTTAAGTACTTTTAAAAGCAAGTACTTCTGTACTTTTACTTGAGTAAAAATCTGTCTTTACAACGTTTACTTGTAATGGAGTAATGTTTGACCAGCAGTATCTGTACTTTCACTCAAGTAATGGAGTTGAGTACTTTGACTAACTTACTTTGATAACTGACAAGTTTCACAAAACAGGC